GGCGGGGGGGGGGGCTTACTGCCGGCCGCGGCCCCTTCCCCTGGGCTGTCCCTGTCCGGAGGGAGCGGAGCTGCCCCTGCTGCCCCCCCCGCCCGCGCTTTGGGCGAGGGGTGCCCCTGCTCTACCCACCCCCGCTACCCAGGGTCGAGGGGAGGGACGACCCCTGGGTCTCCCCCGAAGGCAGACGGGCTCCGAGGGGAGGAAGCTCCGGGGGAGCTTCTCGCCCACCGGGGCCAACCCAAAGCGGGTTTCGCCGCCCTTGGCCAGGGCTGCCTGTCAGCCCCCGGGTTCGGGAGAGGATTTGGGGGACCCCGAGGGTGGCAGGAGGCTGGCGGCACAGGAGGGGGGGCTGAAGCGGGACCCCACGGTGGGTTTCCCGGCGCGGCACAAAGGGAGGGATCCTCGCAGCTGCCTTTCCCACGGGTGTCTCCAAGGGGCGGGCGGCATACGCCAACGATTTTAATAATTTTTTTTTTGGGGGGGGGTAATATTATTACGGAACATAAATTAGGTTTTAATAGCCGTTTGATTAGCCGGGGAGGGGGGCGGCCGCTGGGGAAGCTCCGTCTCCGCTCCGCATCCAAACTTCGTGGGCAGTGGCGGGACAGGGGACCAGGGAGGGGTGTCTTTCCCTCCCTCCTCCCCTCCCCCTGGGTGCAGGTAGCCCCCACCTCACCCCAGAAGCGAGCAGAGCCCCCCCGTACCCTTATCTCCCCACTTATCTCCTCCGCACCGGCTCGGGACACCTCCAGTGCCGTTTGAACACGGGGGACAAAGCCCGAAAAACTCAAACCGACGACTGGTCCGGGGTGTGGGGGGGATGTTGGGGAATGGTGGTGGCGATGGGGTTGGCCGGGTGTGAGGAGCAAAGGGCTCTCCTGCCCGCGCAAGACGCCGCTGAAGGCAGCGCAGCCACCGCAGGGCGCTCGGAGCTCGGCGTATTTCGGTGGCTTGGCAAGGCCGAGCAGTTTTTTTCCTCGAGTTCCCGGCTGCTGTCACACTCGCCACGGGTGTCCCGGTGCGGCGGGGGTGATGTGACCGGAGACCCCAAAACGGGCCGGTTCCGTTGGCCGAGCCCCGAGGGGACCAGCATCCCGGGAAAGGCAACGCCCGGCGGCCCCTCCGTCCCTCGCTGAACACGTCTGACAACCCAACCCGCTCCCTGGGCGAGAGAAAAGAAAGAGAGAGAGGAAAAAAAATATCTCCAAGGGAAATATGAGCTCTCGGGCATCGCCGCTTTCTCCTCTCCAGGGCTGGAGGGAGGCTACCAAAAATGCGGGGAGGCGCAGAAGGACATCATTTCTTACTCCAAGCTGCCCTGCGCTTCCCCGCTGCCCTTCTGCCTTCGTCCCGGAGCGCCCCGCTTTGTCACCCCGCGGGGGGACGAGCCCCCCCGGCCCCACAGACACCGGGGGAAGGAAGGAGGGTAAGCCCCGGGAAGGCAGGAGGCGGCGGGAGCTGGGATCTTGCCGTGTAGAGCTCGTCCTGAAGGACATCCTGCCTTGCAAGTCGTTCGGGGAAAGATGCAAACGCTCACCCTTTTCTTTTAGCCCAGAGGTTTTCCAATTATTTTTTATTTTTTTTATTTTTTTTTTCCTGGACGGGGAGCCCAGCTGGAAGAAATCCTCTTGTTCCAGAAATCCTCCTGTTCCAGTAACCGGCGGATTTTTTAAAAGCATTTTTTTTTGAAGCCCCTCACACGCGTTACAGCAGGTTTCAGAGAGCCCTCGGCGTAAAAAGGAACCGGCTCGTGCAGTTTCAACACGTTTTATTATATTTCTGTATGCATTACTCTCAAAACATATCACAAGAAATGATGAAACCACTTAAACCTTCAAATAAAAAATCTGAAACAGTTTATGCTCACAATTGTACATATTTATAGTTAAGAAACATTCTTTATAAATACTGTTTCCTCTGTAGCAAGTTAATACCATAATTTAATTACAAATGGATAAATATGGTAACAGGTATTTACAGGAGGAAGGGTGTTATTACGGAAAAGCTAACGGCACGACGTTTATTTTTCCTCACAATCTTCCGAACAGGAACTAACAAATTGAACTTGCAAAAGCACTAAAACATCACATGTAAACCCAGCTAACAGAAAAAATACATTCACAAGCGTTGTTGTTCGTGTGTGTGTGTCTGTGAGTAACAGAATGGAGACTTTGGCACGGTATTTCTTCCCCAGTCTATAGTTGAAATGCAGTTTACAATCAAGTTGCCTCTTAAAAAGGAACACAATATTCAAGATATCACAATTACAAAAGAAACCATTTTTTTTTTCTTCCCCGTTTCTTTTTTTTTTTTTTTAAAGGGGTGAACTAAAAAAGGAGGAGAGTAGGAGGCGGGGAGGGGAAGCGGGAGAAAAGAAAACAAGTCCATCACTTTTCTCGGGGAGGGAGGAAGAGGAAAAAAAAAAAAAGAAAGACCAAAATAAAAAAAAGAAGAAGAAGAAGGGGACCAATCCGCGGTTTACAAACGGGACGAACTTCTATACACCAAGAATCCAGGAAAACTTCGTTCCCCACCTCGGCGGAGGAAGAAGAGGGCCGCTATGTACACAGTCCGTGGGGCGGGAGGGCGCTGGCTGCTCCGAGCGGGGAGGCGAGGGGGCCGGGGGAGTTTTAGTCTCTGAGCTTTTGTCTGGAGGCTCCGGAGGGAGAGTTTCTTTCCGCCGGTTTGAGGAGTTTTTTGCTGGGTGGCGTGTCGGTGGCGTTTGGGGTTGGGGTTTCCCCCCCCCC